CCTCTGAGCTCACCAGCACCCCAAACACCCAACAGATGTGCCTCCCAGAGGTGGCCAGCCCACCCCGGCCTGCACACCCACGGGGCAGGGCAGTGCGCTTCACCCCTGCAGCCCGCCCGGCCCTCGGGTCCACACCACGGCCCCCTCTGCCCGGATGGGGAGGACCCAGCCCTGCGCACTCACCGGGTGGGGCCACCACAGTGCCCAGCCCGTGGCCACACTGAACCGGCACCCAGCCCGGCCACCCGGCCCCGACCCAACCGCTGGCTCTGGGAGCTGGGAGGTGCTCCCTGTGGGGGTGCCCGGGCGGGGGCAACCCGGGGCACAGGGACACTGAGGAGTGTCCAGTACTGTCCCTCCTGCTCCACCCCACGTCCTGGGGCCCTCGTCTACACCAGCACCCCAGCAGCGGGCTCACCCGTCCACACCACTGATCCACCTGCCCACGTCCCTGCAGAACCGCACATGGGCCGGATGCCTCCTCCTCCATTTATTCCCACCCGACGGGGGTCCTCACGCCCCAAACTATTGTCAAACTGCGGCCTGTGTACCGCGCACAAGGACAGCAGCGGAGTTCTGACCCCACGGGAGCTGATCCCGACGGCGGAGCCGCCCGTGGAACCCGCCGCGCCTCCACAGCGGCCCGACAGGGTGCTTTCAGGTCGGCTAAGAAAACACTTACCAAGTCAAGGATTGTTTTTACTTAAAAAAACTGAACGAGGGATCCCTGGGTGGCGCGGCGGTTTGGCGCCTGCCTTTGGCCCAGGGCGCGATCCTGGAGACCCGGGATCGAATCCCACGTCGGGCTCCCTGTGTGGAGCCTGCTTCTCCCTCTGCCTGTGTCTCTGCCTCTCTCTCTCTCTATCATAAATAAATAAAAATTTTAAAAAAAATTAAAAAAAAATCTGAACGAGGCGCCGGGCCACCCGGACTCTGCGCAGACGAGCTTCCCGGCCTCACTCTTCCAGGACCCTCGGGGTCCAGGAGGTTCTGCCGCCTTCGGCCCGAGGCCATCCTGGGGGTTTTCTTTGGTTGGACTCTCAGGTCGAGGTTCCAAGGGGACGAGCATCTGCGCGCCTGCCGCTCTCCTCCGGACGCTTCCCCGCACGGTCCCTGCGGCGAAGGGCCGGCCGGCCGCGGCGCCTTCAAGGCACGTTTGGCAAAAAAGCACCCGGGAAGTCCGGCGGGCAGCCGCGGGGCGTCGCAGCCTGTGCAGCCCCTGCCGTGTGCCCGCTGCCTGCCGGGGGGGCCTCGGAAGTCCCGTCCTCACACGGGCAGGGAGACGGGGCTCCATCCCGGCGAGCGTGCAGGTACACGGACCGCACAGCCTCACGGGGGGCCGGGGCCCTGGGGGGCACTGCTCAGCCCTGGAACAGGCTGGTCCTTGAACAAGACCCCAGGAGGCGTCTGTGGAGTCCCTCCCCCTCCCTGCTGCTTCTCCCCAGGCTGGCCTGCCCCCCCGCCCCCGACAGGAGGCCGTGACCCCCTGCGCGGGCACCCAGGTCCAGAGGGCAGAGGAGGCACCCTGGCCCCTTGCCTTTGCCTCATTTGCACCTGAAGCAGCTTGACGGGAGCAAGTGCCCCCAAGACACGAAGGGTGGGGTCCCCTTGGCCTCTGACAAGGGCCTCCTGCCGCAGACCACCGAGTCCAGAGTGACCCCAGCAGCACCGGGGCAGCCAGCGCGTCCCCATCCCCCGCGGCCCAGTGCAGCCCAGGCGCTCCCTGCCCTACAAGCTCCCCTACAAGCTCCCCGGCTGCTGTGTCTGCATTTGTCTCAACTACCTCACCCTGAAAGCCTCACAGAGCCGGCTGGGGTGCTGCCCTGGGGGCCTCGGGGAGGACTCCGGAGGGTCTGCAAACACACCCAGCACGTCACCACCCTCTGGGGGCATCGGGAACCCCCACGAGAGGGAATCCCCGCACCCCCTCCACCAGAGCCTGGCCTCCACCCCCAGGGGTGTGCATGGGGGGGGTCCACCCCGCCGCCTCCCCAGGGCTGCGGACAAGGAGTCTGCACACAGCAGGCGCTCAGTGGAGCTCTGCAAACACGTCCTCAGAGCAGGAGCTGGAGAGCCGAGCTCTGTTCTGTGTCAGACCCCCTCCTGGCCTGCCTGACAGCCCAGATAAGCCGCTATGAATGGAATGTGACCTCCCCCGGGGTGTCAGCCCCCCCCCTCCGCCTGGCCAGTAAATCACCTGGAAGGAAAAGGGCCAGGTGCCTGCTGGACAGGACAGAGCAGTCACGCGCAGGTTACAGACGCAGGTTACAGACGCAGGTTACAGACGCAGGTTACAGACGGTGCAGGGTCCCGGCGCTCCTCAGACGCCCGCCTCACCCCCCCGCCCCCCCCCCCCCGGCAGCCCTGTGTGCCCGCTGGCACCGGTGCAGCCCCGTGATCGTGATCGCGGCTTCCGGGCCGGCGGGGCCCCGACAGCTGCCTGATGAAAGCGCTCAGGGCCCGCGGCACCCGCGGGGGAGCCCGCCAGGCAAGTGGGGCTCTCAGTGTGGTCGTCGCCTAGACACGAGGGCGAACCCACCCGCCGACCCGGGAGGAGGCCGGGATGAGCCCTCTCCACATTCCGGGGCTTCCAGGGGCTTAGGCCGCCACCCACGTTCTCTGTCTGCTTTGTAACCAGACCCAGGTCACCAGCAGCGACCCTGGCGGGCCCTGGGAGGACCCGGCCCCTCCCCTGCGGCACACACAGGCCTGCAGGAGCCCTGGGCGCCCCACCTGGGACCCTCTGGGGCAAGAAGGCAGGTGGCAGAGGGCCCTGGGGCAGAGGGGGCCACGCGGGAGCCCGAGTGGGCTGCAGGAGGGCAAACACGGGGGCTGCGAGGCCCTCCCACCCGCCCCAAATTTCAGCTCGGACTCTCCGCAAAGTGGACACAGGGACACAACCGAGACCCCGGTCTACTCCCCACGTCACGGACACACCCCTGCAGCGGTGAAGACACACGAGCAAGGCGGCCCAGGAGGGGACGGGCCGGGGAGGCTGGGGACACCAGCCGTGAGCGTCACTCGGCTCCCAAAGGACCCCGATGGCGGGGAATGACGCCCCGCATACGGGGAACCGCCAGCTACACACGCAGGGAGGTGACCGAGCACCTGCTTCTCCCCCACCTGCCCCTCTGCGCGTCTGCGGGGAGGTCGTCGGGATTTGAAACCAGAAGACGCCTCCGGCCCCCCCAGGACCACAGGGAGGGAAAGGAGGGGGAGAAGGGACCCAGGTGCCCACCCTTCCGGAACGCGCTCTCAGCAGGGGCGCCGCCTGCACACGGGTGAAGAAACGCGAGCGGGGTGCACACGGTCCCCTCCTCCCGGCACGCCTCACCCCTGCCCTGTCTGCCTCTCGGTCCTCACCTCCCGCCCCGGGGCTCGCCTCGGCCCTGGGAGGTGCTGCTGGCCGGGACACTCTCCAGGGGACATGCAGGGGCGGGGGGCAGCTCGCAGACGCGCCCGGGGCCATCCTCAGTCCGGAGACGGCTCAGCGACACGGAAACGCCGTACTCCTGGAGGCGCCTCCAGGGCCGCGTCCTTCGCCACATGAGGGGACGCCGCGCTGGCCCACGCTACCGCCCGGAAGGGCCCAGAAGCACCGGGAACGGTCGTGCTCTGCGGAGAAGCCAGATGCCACCGGTCACGGGGTGGGGGTGCAGTCACGTGACGCGCCCGGAGCGTGCGGACCCTTGTGCAGAGCGGCAGCCCGGGTGGGCGCGGGACGGGGAGTGAGTGCCCACGCAGGGGGGCGTCCTCCTGGAACATTCCAGAACCAGACTCCAGACAGCCGAATGGCGATGTGACCACTGCATGTCCCTGAATCATTGACTTTAAAACGGCTGATTTTGGGGCAGCCTGGGTGGCTCAGCGGTACAGCGCCACCTTCAGCCCAGGGCATGACCCCAGGGTCCTGGGATCGAGTCCCGCATCGGGCTCCCTGCATGGAGCCTGCTTCTCCCTCTGCCTGCGTCTCTACCTCTCTCTCTCTCTGCCTCTCTCTCTTTCTGCATCTCTCATGAATAAATAAATAATCTTTAAAAATAATAATAAATAAAATAAAACAGCTTACTTTTATGCCACATGAATCTTAACCTCCCAAAAAAGTTAAGAACCCAATTGCTCCCGACCTACGGAAGTTAGAGCTCACGACGTGCGTGGAGACGGCCCGCCTCGTGCCCGCAGACTCCCGACCTCCGTCCCCGACCCTGGCCGCGCGCTGGTCACTCCCTGTGCCCGTGGGCCGAGGTCAGCCTGCCTTCCCCACAGGCCGCCGCGCTCTCCGGGGAGGCCGCCCGCCCCATCATCTGCCCGTCCAAGCCCACGGCCTCGCCCCTACGTGCTCCCCGAGCTGCCAAGACGGCGAGATGTTCCCTCCGAGGTGCTCATGGGGGGACGGGCAGGGGGACAGCCAGGAGGGCCGCACGGGGGCGGTGACACGGCCTGAGGGCCGTGAGTCACCCACCGTGCTTCATTAGTCAGCCCTGAGCTCACGGCCCAGGTGTGAGCCTCAGATTCCTGAGGCCTCACCCCACGTCAGAGCCAACGGTCTCCCAGGTGACGGGATCGGACCCCAGAACCTGCCGCGACCCCAGGCGGCCACCGGTGTCGGATGCTCAGGGCCCGGGGCAACGGCCCACGTCAAGAGGGCGGCACGGAGCACTGGCAGCTCGGGGCAGCTCTCCCTGCGTGGGCTCAGGAGCCCCTGCAGGCCTCCCGGAGCCTCCCGCCTACCGCGGACGGGCTGTCCCGACACGCAGGCAGCAGCCGGGTGAGGTCAGGGCCGGGATGGGCGAGGGGCAGGAGGGGGCCTGCCCGGGAGGGGCGGTACGTGGCCCACGGGCTCGGCGCTCGCCAGGCCGGTCCCAGCCAGCGCCCGGGGATCGGGGTCAGGCCGGGGGACGCGAGGCCTCTTGGGCTGCGGGTGGGCGAGGGGAGTCCTGACCCGCCTCCTGGGGGTCACGGGCGGGGGGGGGGGGGGCCCGGGGAAGGTCGCGCAGGTGCAGGAGGAGAGGACGTGGCGTTTGAGGCGAAGGCCCTGGGGAGGAGAGGCCGATGGAGGCCGCGGGAGCGCCGCGGGGTGCAGGGCTCAGCCGCCCGGCTGCTCAGATGCTCTGCTCACATGCTCGGGGAAATGCTGGTTTCAAACTCCACGCACACACGCCACGTGTCTGACCAGAGGCCACATGACGTTGGGGACCGGCTGGTCGGACCCGCGGCAGCAGCGCCCGGTCCCCTCGTGCGGAGAACGGCAGGCCCTGTCACCCCTGCGAGGATTCCCGGGTCCCCGCCGGGCTGAGGTCTGGCCCCCTGCTCCCCGGCCACGAGTGTCCACGGGGTGACCACGGAGGGCTCCACACTGGGGACGGGGCCGACCCAGGAGTCCCCGACTGGACCTTCCGTCCTCGTCCTCCCTGACGGGCACCGTGTGCGCGGCCAGCGGGCCGGGCCCGGCAGACAAAGCAGGGGACACGCAAAGCCAGACGAAGCTGGGGCGCTCGCTGCGGACACAGGCCTCGCAGTCGTCCTCAAGTCACAAAGCCTGGGGACCTCCTCCCGCAGCGCCCCCCACCCCCGTCCCCGGGCGCCTGCAGGGAGCATGAAAGCCCTGCCCTCCCGCGGGGTCGCTGGGCCTGGCCGTGCAGGGACCTCAGCTTCTGCGGGAGGAGGCACCCCCAAGGCCTGGCGCCCCCCTGCCTGGTGCTCACCACGCCCACAGGTGGCCTGGCCGGGTCGGGGCAGGGGGCCCATGGGATCCAGCCCCGGGGGTGCAGGCGCCCCTCACCTGGGAACACAGCCCGGTCCTGCCCCCCACCGGCGCTGCAGAGCCACGTCCACATCCCGCTGTCCCGTGGGCCCCCGGCCCGCCCTTGGCCGCACACGAGGAGCTCAGGCCTGCCTCACCCCTGCGGAGTCGCCCTGCAGAGCAGCGCGGGGGCAGCGCCAGCCCCGCCGAGGCAGATGTGCTCCCCCTGCCAGCGACCCAGGCGGCCAGGCCGTGCCCAGGGGGCATCTGCTGACACAGACTTCGGTGGCAGGTGAGCGTGTGCACCGACCGGCCCTCGGCCACCTGCTCCCCCCTCCTGCGCCTGCTCTCCATGTCGTTGGGGCCACGGGCAGGCCCCGGGTCTCCTCCAGGCCCACGAAGAGCCCTTAGCCCGCCTCGCCCGTTCCGCACAAATGTGAGCCCTCGGGTGGCCTGCGGGACTCGGGGGTCCACCCAGGCCCCCGCCGCCAGCACGCGCTTCCCTGCAGCACCACGTCTGTCCCCAGGCCCTGCACCTTCCTTCTGGGGACAAGGCACAATTGGGAAGGTTCAAGAGGCTCAGGAGGTGGCCCCTGCACCCCACCAGTCCCCCCAGGGCATCCCCCCTGCCCATTCCCCCAGGGTGACCCCCACCCGTCCCTCCAGGGCGCCCCACTCTGAGCCACCCCCAAACTCTGAAGGCGCTGGGTGAGGGTGGGATCTCAGGCCAACGCGGGGCCCAGACACCCAGTCGCATGCGGGCCAGAGTCACAGGCTCTGCCCCCTTCCCCCAGTGACGGGGAAACCCAGAGGCTCCCGCTGCAGCCCCCAGCATCTGCAGAAAGTTCTGGTTCTGTGGCTGTGCCGGTTCCGTCCGCACAGAGCCAGCTGCCGCCGGGAGCTGCGGGCCCTGCCCTGTGACCCTCCAGGGTCCCCGAACTAGCAGACCCCATCCCCAGCCGGCGTGGGCCGCCTCCTCCTGGAGGTCCCCCTGGGGGAGCCCGGGGCTGCCGCGGCCACCCTCAAGGGGCAGGTGGGGGACGGACGCCTCGGCAGGGCTCGGGCCCAGGCTGCAGAGCCGCAGGCCAGTGGCGCCCGGAGCCTCGGCCCCGGGGGCTCCCCCAGACGGGGGCGGGCGGCTCCCGGTCCCCCACACGGCAGGCGGCAGCCAGTGGAAGGTGGCCACAGCCCCCACACTCCGAGGCCGGGCACAGGCCACACCTCGGCGCCGCTTCCCAGGCCCCGGCCAGCTCTCTGCCATCGCCCCCGTGTCGTCTCGGCGGGGACAGCACACGGGCCGCCCCCCTCACGCCGCGTCCCCCAGTTGGTGGCATCCCCTGGATACCGGCCTGGGGTCCCGCAGGCAGAGCTGAGCCCGGGGCTGCTCACTGCAGCCCCTCGCCCCTCCCCCTGCTTCACCCCATCGGGCCGGCCGATGCTCCCAGGGAAGCAGGGGCTCCACGCGGGGGATGCGCTCCCACCGCTTCAGACGCCTGCGGACGGCCGCGACGTGCCGGCTGTGCACACGCACGTCCACCAGGCGCCTGGGCGGGAGGCGGCGTGCCTGGGCCTCAGGGTCTGTCCCTCTGGGTCTGTCCATCCAAGTCTGTCCGTCCGGGTCTGTCCATTCAGGTCTATCCCCCGGGTCTGTCCGTCCAGGTCTGTCCCTCCGGGTCTGTCTGTCCGGGCCTATCTATCAGGGTCTGTCTCTCAGGGTCTGGATCTGTCCCTCCGGGTCTGTCAGTCTGGGCCTGTCGTTCAGGGTCTGGGTCTCTCCATCTGGGTCTGTCCGTCCAGGTCTGTCCCTCAGGGTCTGGGTCTGTCTGTTCAGGGCTGTCCGTCCATGTCTGTCCATCCGGGTCTGTCCTTCAAGGTCTGGATCTATCCCTCCGGGTCTGTCTGTCCAGGACTGTCCCTCAGGGTCTGGGTCTGTCCGTCCGGGTCTGTCCGTCCGGGTCTGTCCCTCAGGGTCTGGGTCTGTCCCCCGGGTCTGTCCGTCCAGGTCTGTCCCTCAGGGTCTGGATCTATCCCTCCGGGTCTGTCTGTCCAGGTCTGTCCCTCAGGGTCTGGGTCTGTCCCCCGGGTCTGTCCGTCCAGGTCTGTCCCTCAGGGTCTGGATCTATCCCTCCGGGTCTGTCTGTCCAGGACTGTTCCTCAGGGTCTGGGTCTGTCTGTCCAGGGCTGTCCCTCCGGGGCCAGGCTGGCCGCACTGTCCCTGCCTGCACCGCCTGGAGGCAGCCCCGGCTCAGCCACTCCAGCCTCACTCAGGTCGTCCCACCTTGGATTCCAACTCAAGGTGCCGCCCAGGACTGTCCCGTCCGGGGCTGCTGGGCGTGTCCGGGCCCTGCCCGCGGGGACGACGCTGCAGAGCCTGGTCCCGAGGAGGCCCCAAGGCTGGGACTGCACCTGGGACCGTGCAGCGGGGGGGCGGCCCCGTCACGGCGTGTGCACAGTACCTCTGGGCGGAGGCGGAGCCGTTCTTCCCCATGGGGGGGCGGGGGGAGCCCCATCGGGCCTGATGTGTTAATGGTTGACCAGGCCCAGGCCCGAGATAATTAACTCGGCGCTAACCTGGGTGAGTTCAGGGCCACGGGGGGCGGGGGAGGAGGTGGTCCGCGCTGACCCGGGCTGACCCTGCGGGGACGGGGGATCCGAGGTCCACACGGCCCTGCCCAGTGGAGGGAAATGCCGGCGGGCAGAGGCTCCCACGTCCTCTCGGGTCACCTGGGCACGGTCCTGCAGGAGCGCGAGGCGACCGGGGGGGCCCTGGTGACCCCCCGACGAGAGCAGCCATCCTCAACCCTCCACGTTCAGGCCGATTTCCAAACGGGGTTTGCCCTGGGCGTGGGGCAAGCAGCACAGGCGGCGTGCCACCGGCTAGGACACCCGAGACCCCGAGAACCCCCAGAAGCCACGCAGCGGGCTCCAGGAGGCCCCCCCCCCGACAGCACCCAACCTGCAGGAACCATGCAGCTCTGCCTTCGGCCGGGGCAGCGAGCCTGGGAGCGGTCCCCGTGCCGAGACACAGCCCTACGAGCATGGGGGCACGTGTGGGAGTGAGGATCCCCCGGGAACGGGACAGGCCTCGGGAACATGGGGGGACACAAGCTGGACAACCGGCGGGCTGGGCGCTGACACCCTGCACCCGTCCCAGAGGCTGGCCGGGGCATTCCAGAGGCGCGGTCACCCTGAGCCGCCACCACCCCCGGGGCCCGCGGGAGACATTTATCTGCGCCGTGTCGCAGTGTCCTGTGCAAGCAGGTCCTCGGCCCGGGGGCGGGGGGGGCTGGCAGCCTGCTTCCTGGAGCTGATGACGGGAGGGTCTGCACCGCGCGGCGACCATGACAGCTCACCCGGGAGCTGGACGCAGCCGGCTGGGGGTTGCCCCCGATAACCCCGTAGGCGCATCCAGGGTGTCCGGGAGCTCGCGGGGGACACCACACCCAAGGGGGGGGCATTTCCTCGTGCAACAGACAGCAGAGGAGCCCAGTACAGGGCGCTCCAGCTGCTGCTTCCCCGGGGTTTCTGCATCTGCTCCCTGCAGGGTCCTCTCGTGGCTCAGTCCCCGCGCCCCAGCCCGCACCAAACCGCTGCGCTGCCAGACAGAGGGTGGCAAGGGGGCGCCCAGACAACATCCCCCCAACTCCACCGGGCCTCGCGGATAGGCTGGACACGTGGTGGCTGGGGGGCACCACGGAGGCCAGGCTGGGCACCTGGAGGTCAGGGGGCCAAGAGGTCGGGCTGGACACGTGGGGGTCGGGGGGCACCACGAGGTTGGGCTGGGCACTGGGGGCCGGGGGGCACCACCCCACGGAGGCGCCTGCAGATGGCTGTCAGACACAGGGGATGACCTGCTATGGCCACTTTGCTGCCCGAAGTCCCGGGCAGTGGGGCCCCCCCACTCTGTCCTCCCTCCACCTGCGACAAACCCCTGCCACGTAACCCTGCTGCTCAGCCCACCCCGCAGCGGCACCCCTGCTTCCCGGGCCGGCTGCCCTCCGGTCCTGGGGTGATGCACGCACCCCTGCAATGGGCACAGGGCACACAGAGCAGGATTTAGAATTTCAGTGAGGGGCACCTGGGTGGCTCCATCGGTGAAGCGTCTGCCTTCAGCTCAGGGCATGACCCCGGGGTCCTGGGATCGAGTCCCGCGCCGGGCCCCCGGGTGTCTCCCCTCACCCCCCCCCCGTACCCCTGCTCTTTCTCTCTCTGTCTTGCTCACTGTCTCTCAAATAAGTAAAATCTTTAAAATAGTCGTAACGATACTCATTTCGGCGAGGATGACACATAAGGGCTGCAAACATCTCCCGGGACAAAGTCCAGTCTTGCCCAAGCCTGTCTGTCCGTCCACCTGTCCTGAGGGCCCGAGCACCTCACGCGCTAGCCCCGCACAGCGTAAGAGCAGCGTGGACAGCCCAGGGCCCGCGAGGAGCTGCAAAGGCCAGTCCTGCAACGGGGGGGGGGGGGGGGGGCGCAGGGCGTGGGAAGCAGGGAGAAGGTGGCTCCCGGTGGCACGGCCCCTTCTCCCCGAGTCCTGCACCGCCGTCTCCTGGTGGCCAGGCTGAGGCCGGCGAGCCTTCCCCCCACAAGCCATCCCCCACCACTGGCCCCAGAAGGTTCCAGAGAGCGAGCCTGGGAATGCCTCCCCGCAGGCCCTAATCCTGTTGCTGGGATACCCGCGGGGGGAGAAACGTGGGCCTGTAGGGTTAGCTACAACCGACCACAGGGCCTTTCCCCTCCCCCGAGGTGTGATCGGGACCAAGTCGCAGGGGGACGCACCCGCACGCACTCGCAGGAGGACAGGCAGGTCAGGCCCCCAGCAGGACAGCGTGTCGCTGGCCCCGCCGCCGTCCACGGCCCCACAGGCTGGTCACTGGGGCAGCCAAGCACGGGTCCCCGCTCAGCTCCGAGGGTGCACCCAGCAGGCGCTCAGCGTCCACCCAGCCCCCCCCCACCGCAGCGCCTCCTGTCCCCAGGGCTCGAGGGGACGCCCTGAGCGCGTGCGGACCTGGGACCATGCTCTGCTCATCCACTTCCATTTTCCTCTGGAAGCTGGTTGTTAATTCTCTGCACCCATAGAAGCATCTCAACCGCCTCCTGTTTTGGGTCGGAACCACCCAGCCCCCAGGGCCCCCAGCAGATGAAATGACCAGAGGTGAGCACTGCTCCCAGGATGGCCTCCCGGGCGGGGTGGGGCCTCGGCTGCACCGAAGTGTCTTAAGAGTCATGAAGGTTGCACAGCAGGACCAGGTCCTCCTGGTCCCCCTCCCTCAGGGGCCGCCCCCCCCCACCTGCAGAGCCAGCTGTTCTGACATCGCCTAGAGAGAAACTCTGGGCCCGGGGAACCAACAGGGGCGAGGGGTCGGCCCAGTGGCCCTGGGAAAGCTGGAGCCGCACACGGGTGGGCCGCTGGCCCCCGACACGGCCCCTGACCCCGACTCAGCGACGTGGGCGGCAGCGCGCTCGAAATGCAGCTCTGGAAACGCAGGTCGGGGCCCAGTGACGCAAACACAGAGGAGCCGGGAGCTTGGGGGACCCTGCTGTCCTCTCCGGCGCCGACGGAAGACAAGAGAGCGCAGCCGGGTCAGCAGACACCCTCCGCCAGGAGGACGCTGGGCAAGCCTCCAAGACGCGTTTGGGATCCCACGGGTCATCTGCCCGGCCGTTCACAGGGGTCACCCCGCAGGCCGACGGGCACGCGGCCCCGGGCTGCCAGGGTCTCTCAGAGGACTGGACGCCGGACCCCAGGGCCCCGACCCACACAGCTCCGCGCTGTCCAGCCTCCGCGCACATCACGCAGGACAGAGCAGAGTCTCTCCTTCACCTGCGGGTTTTCATCACATCACAGGGTCACGACCCACACGCCGCCCGGCGGGCAGGGAGACAGAGGCAGAGGCCACTGCGGGGTCATGGGGCACCTCCTGGGAGGTGGGGGCGCCCAGAGCGGGGCCGCGGGGCCGGGCGTGGGGACGCAAGCCGGACATCGCAGAGGCCACGGCGCATCCACCACCGGGTCTCCGTCCGCAGTGGATGCTCCAGGTGCCCGTCCGCACGTCCTCGGGGCGCGCCTCCTGCCCGCAGCCGGCGCCTGGCCCAGCGCGACGGGGACGACACACCCCCTGCTCCTGGGTGACGAGGTCGGCGAAGCCCGTCGGAGCCCGGCAACAGCCGTGACCCCGGAGGAAGGGCCTGGTGACCGCGCAAGGGCAGCAGCTATGGGGACAGCGGGAGCGTCCCGCAGACACTCAGACTCCAGGGACGGATGGCGGGAGCAGGGGGGGACAGGGCAGGGAGCAGGACCCTCCAAGGGGCGCGAGGACCCACCCCCCGCCCCCACTAGATAGGAAAGGAGCTGCGTGCGGCAGCGGGAGGGCCTCCCCGCCTCGTTCTGGAAGCTCAGACCAGGAGCCAGAGCTCTTGTTAAACAGCAGGGCGGCGGCCAGGAGGTGCCTCCAACACCCGCCAGGTCCCACCGCGCGTCACCCTGGGCGCTCCATCAATCCAGCCTGTGGCCCAAGCAAGGCCACCTGCCGACCGACCCAGTGAGGTACAAGAGGGAGACCGAGGCAAGGTCCGGACGGTGGTCGGGGCGGCTGTGTGGACGCGGGGTGTGGGCAGCAGGGCTCGACGAGTCCTTGTTCGCCAACTAGTGAGGACCCAAGAGCCAGTTTAACTTAGACGGCTGAGCGCAGGCCCTGCGCTGGGACCACCGAGGAGGAACGCTCGCCGTCCCCACGGCCCTTGGGGCCCGAAGAGGCCAGTCGGCTTCTGGGAGCCTGGGGACGGGACCCTGGGCCTGCCCTAGCCCTCCCCGCCCTGGGGCAGCCTCCCAGCACTGCCCCCAGGACCCAGAGCCGCCGGGGGAGCTGCTGGCCCTGCCTGCACGTCCCCCACGGCGGCTCAACGTGTGAGGTCCCGGCAGAGGCCACGGTGCCAAAGAACCGGCCAACGTCGCCCACCAGATGGAAGCAAATGAAAGCACGTTAGGGGTGTGGCCAGTGGCCAGCGGCCAGTCCCCCGGAGCCCGCTGGTGCCGCCCACCGGGTCTCCCCCGCGGCAGCGTCCCGGCTGACTGTGGCCACGTGAGCATCAAGTGCTCCCAGGCCGCTGGGCACATCTGGTCAGCGTCCTCGTACGGCAGGCTGGGTGCGGAGCAGGCCGCCGCCCGCCCCCGGGCTGCCTTCCCACCATCCAGGACCTCTGCGCCCCGAGACCCCGTGGTCGGCCGTTCCTGGGCGCGCCCACGCCCCTGGCTGCTGCCCAGGGCATGTGGGGTTATTCTGGGGCCTGGAACGGGAGCGCCGCCTGAGCTCTGGAAGGCTGCTAGGACGGGCCCAGCTTGGGGGCCTGTAGGAGCCCATGCCCAGGGGGTCAGGGGCCTGAGGGGCGGCGAGCATATCCGGGGGGCCCGGACGTGGCACTTTGCAGACGACAGGCCGCTTCCCGCGACCTAACGGTGGGCTGGGCGGGGTCCTGCAGCTGCTTGACAATCCGCCACAAAGCTGGTGGCTTAGAACAGCACATATTTATTTTCTTGCAGTTCCAGAGGTCACAAACCACCGTGTCGGAGACACTGGGCTCCTTCCCGGAGGCTCCAGCAGAGAATCCGCTTCCTGTCATTTCCAGCCGCTGGACGCACCTGCACCCGTGGCCCCTCGGGCACCTGCAGGCCAGCGGCTCCGTCCCGCGTCCCGCGTTCCGCCCTCTGACATCTGCTTCCACCACCACGTCTCCCTGACCCCGACCCTGCCCACTGCCTCCCCATCCCTGTTAGGACGCCAGGATCACATGGAGGCCCCCGCACTCGTCGCCCCGGCTCAGGGCCTTCACCGCACCTGCAGGGTCCTTCCTACCACGTGAGGCAGCGTCCACGCCTCCTGCGGATCGGGCCGCGGGTATCCCTGGGGCTGACCACGGACGCCGCGGGAAGCAGAAGCATAAACGAGGGGTTTTCGTCTAGAGGCTCACGTGTGGGGACGTCGGGCACCTGGGATGCCAGCGTGCCATCCGCCCTGTCACGGGCCGGGCTGCTGTGGGGCTGGCCTCAGGCCGGGGCGCCCAGAGCGAGGGGCGACCCCAGGGGCCGGGCTGGGGGGCACTTTTCCCCAACACAGCGAGAGAGGCTGGGTGCTCTGTGCTCTTTCCTTCCTGCTCCCAACCTCCAGAGGCTTTCTTACTTGTTTTCACAACAAAAGGCCATGTCTGGGGAACACGGGGGACCCTAAGCCGAAGGCCCTGGGGGTGACGCTCATTTTAGCCAGAAAGCAGGAAGATCCTGGCAGCCCCAAAGTGGGCCCCCTCAGTGCCCCGGGGAGACTGAGGCCGAGAGCCCAGAGGTCATTGCCAGCCCTGCCCACCGCAGAGGGCGCCCGCTGACCCCGCAGCGCGGCAAGGGGCCTCCAGACCCGCGTCAGGAGCCAAGCAACAGCCCCGGCAGGGGCGGGCCTGGGGCCCTGGATGGGGCTCTGGACACACAAGGCTCCCCCCTCCTCCCCAAGGCCGAAAGGCTCAGGGCAGGGAAGCGGTTCAGCACCAGGTGTAGACTTGCTCGGGGTGGCGGGAAGTGCTTAGCTGAAATAATTATTTATGTTAGAAAAAGCCTCTCCCAGCTCTGACAGCTGGCTCCAGGGGACACCTGCCGCCTTCCATCCCGTCCTAGAGGATTTCCCAGGGGACCTGCCTTTCTAAAACCCCAGGAGGCAGGTGAGGGCAAGGGGTGTGAGGTGGGGGGCTGCAGGGCAGAGAGGGGAGGAGGGGGTGTGAGGTGGGGGGCTGCAGGGCAGAGGGGAGGAGGGGGGTGAGGTGGGGGGCTGCAGGGCAGAGAGGGGAGGAGGGGGTGTGAAGTGGGGGGCTGCAGGGCAGAGGGGAGGAGGGGGTGAGGTGGGGGGCTGCAGGGCAGAGAGGAGAGGAGGGGGTGTGCGGTGGGGGGCTGCAGGGCAGAGAGGGGAGGAGGGGGTGTGAAGTGGGGGGCTGCAGGGCAGAGGGGAGGAGGGGGTGTGAGGTGGGGGGCTGCAGGGCAGAGGGGAGGGGAGGGGGTGTGAGGTGGGGGGCTGCAGGGCAGAGAGGGGAGGAGGGGGTGTGAGGTGGGGGGCTGCAGGGCAGAGAGGGGAGGAGGGGGTGTGAAGTGGGGGGCTGCAGGGCAGAG